ACCAGGAAATGGACTGCCGGGGAGGGAATTCCTCTACTCGCTAGAGCAGACCTGGCATGCTGCAGCCAACAGGCTCATCCATTCCGAAGGCCTGCTGTGCTCAGCTTCAGCCCCTCAGCCCTGAGCTCCACAACCCTCTCCCTACCACTCTTTGATGAGCGCAGAATAAAAGGGGCTGTCACGTGGCGGAGGAGGAATGGAGAAAGTCAGTTGGGCCCTCTAACCTGGAAAAGAAGTTAGAAGGTTGCATAGCTGTGGCTGTCAGAACAGTAAGTGCAGGGCAGGAAACAAGTCTGAAATCTCAGCACTCAGGAGACTAAAGACAGGAAGATTATAAATTCAAGGCCACCCTGAGCTACGTGGACATACTAAAGCTCTGCCTTTAAATTCTTAAATCTTTATAATTTACAATGCACATTGAAGGCAGCCCAACCGAGAATGAGTAAGTCAGTTTCTTCTGTTAGAGAAATCTCCTAGCAGCCACGAGGTCCTCAGAATGGATCACTTCAGCATCATGAACCCCTAGGGCTGTCTCCGCAAAAGTCAAGGCAGACAGACACAGTCAAGGAGGAACTGACCACACTGTCTGCGAGATAGGAGTAGGGTGAGGGAGGGTCCGAGAATGGCTTAGGCAGAAAGGAAAGGAAACGGCAGGAGAGCATCAACAAGAATAAACCACAATGAAGACAGTAAATCGGCTGACCAGAGACGTGGCCATCTAAAGACTCTATTCGAGAAGCCTGTCGCGTCCTACAAAGGGTCATGGAATCCCAGTCACCCCAAACTTAAGCAGCTTTTTGCTAAGTTCAAGTCAAACCAATGCGCTCATCTATCTGCTGAGAAAGAATAGCGATGAATCGTGGAGTTCTCTCACACACTTGGGTCCCTCATGACAGTACACAACACAATGTCCTCACGAGACATCACTTCCACCTCTGCCCAGCCACTGCACAGTCTCTGAAGTTTACCTAGTCCTATCCATCCACTAAAACCGGCGCTGTTGCTCAAGCGCAGTTTCTCTACCAAGGCACCACTGACACTGGGGGCTGGACAACCCCATGTCCTGTCACTACAGGGCATCAATAACATCCCTGCATTTTATCTTCAAGGTGCTAACCAACTGTCTTCCAGATATGAGAACTAAAACTGCCTCCAGACCTTGTCAAATGTCCTCCCCCGTTGAGAACTTCTGCTAGAAAACATCCAGATTTAAAAAAAAAAAAAAACATCCTGAATGAAGATTTAGCACCCACGGTTCGCAGCCACAGGCTGCACTCTGGACCCAGATCACCATCTTGTACAGGTCTGAACGAGGGTGGAAAGCAGGGAAATCTGCCACTCTTCATGGAAAAACAACCACTGTGCCCATGATCTATCAATGATGAACTAACTGCACCACCCAGAGTGACACAGGTCACAAAAGAACAAAGCGTCTGACACCGAGTGTCCAGCTGCACCATCAGAAGAGTGTCTGTCTCTGATACCCGAAAAGCCGGGGTTTCTGGAGATCCTTAAAAGGGAGATGATTTTCCAAACAGGGTCTTTGCACAAGAACCAGAGTACTTTCAGTCCACCGATTTTAAAAGACAGAAACCCACAGCATACAGGCCCGAGCCACCGGTGGCAGCCTGGGAGCTTGTGAGCATGCGTCCTCCCAGACTTCGCCGCGGCCTGACTTAACAGCAGCACGTTTTAGCTGGAAATGGTCGGTGGCAGTTCATAAACAGCTCTGAATACAAACCCGTCTCAGAGGAGGCATTAACAAATCCCCACTTCTCGAGTTCCCACACAAGCAATTTTCTCATCGCTCCGACAAGAGAAATGTTTGTAAAGAAAAGCAGCAAACAGTTCTGAGATCTTTGGTAATATTTTCCAAACAAGCGCACCACCGTACACCAAACAGCATCATGGCAGGACAAATCTCTGCCAATGTCTACACCCGCTCCATGGTGATCAGGCGCTCAGCCTGACCACCCTCTCCCATTTTTATATTTTATTTGTTTATTTGTATTATTGCAGTAGGGGGAATAAGTCTTTCCCTCCACTCACTAACTCACCCTTTTCTTAGAAATTAGGGCCTTCTATTCCGTGCCAGCATACATACCAGCTTACAGGGTGGGGGGCTCTTTTCCCAGCAATACTGAAGAGGGCACCTATGGGGTACCGTACTTCTGGAGAAAGTCTTAGGGTTGATTTGTAACTTGACCCGAGTATCCAGCACTGCTCTGGCCAGTGCGACACACCTGCCAGCCTTCATCCGATTTAACCCCAGCTGCTCTAACAAAACTCTGATCCCAAACAAGCACACTTCAGAAACATTTCGACTGTTTTAACGCAGCCCTTCGCAAACTTTGAAGTGTACAAGAATCCCCTGGGGATTTTGTTCAAAAAACAGGTATTGATATGGGGTCAGGACTGGGACCCAGATTCAGTTTCCAGCCTGGACCCAGATGGATGGATGATCTGTGATCCCCAGAGGAAAAAGCTCAGAGAGCAGAGCCGGGAAAGAAAATTTAATTTTTAAAAAGCCTTTGGCATCAAGACTTCTGCGCTCAGGTGACTCTGGGAGTGTGGAAAAGGATCAGACTGTCTGGGTTTGGGGCCCTAATTTAAGAGAAGAGCAGTTTCTACACCCAAATGGCAGGTCTCGAACATCAAGAGGGTAGACTTGAAGGTAAGCTGTCTTTGTTTGCCCCCACTTCCTGCTGCATTCAGAGTGGTTGGTGGGCCTGACTTTATCAACATATTTAACACAGCTCCAATTTTCAAGGAAATGATAATGTTTAAAACGTGTGTGTATTAGCCAGGTGTGGTGGCACACACCTTTAATCCCAGCACGTGGGAGGCAGAGGCAGGCGGATCTCTGCGAGTTCGAGGCCAACCTGGCCTACAAAGCAAGTTCCAGGACAGCCAGAGCTGCTACACAGAAAAACACTGTCTTGAAAGAAACAAAACAAAACAAAACAAAAAAAAAACTTGTGTGTACACAGTACACCTTCTGGAAAAATCAAAGTTTTTTTAAATTGAATCTTTCCTGCCAAGAAATTCAGTTTGGTTCGTGGACAACCATTAACACTGCCAATGACCTAATAAATGTCAAGTCATTTTCTACTGCGTTACTAAGTGCAAGGTTGGCATGCTAAAAGGCAGGCCAAAAACCAGGCTCTAAGACTAACACTAGTACTATATTGTCTTTTTGGTGGCCCTTGGTTCTATAAGAAAGCAGGCTGAGCAAGCCAGAAGGAGACAAGCCAGTAAACAGCTTTCCTCCATGGGCTCTGCATCAGCTCCTGCATCAGTTCCTGTCCTGACTGCCTTCGATGATGAACAGTGATATGAAAGAGAAGCCAAATAAACCCTTTCCTCCCCAGGCTGCTCTCTTTGGTCGTGGTCACAGCAACAGGGACCCTCCTTAAGACAATGGAACCACAGAGATGACCCAGTGGGTTAAGCACTTACTCCTGGGCGAACATGAGGACCTGATTCTGAACCCCTTCCCTGCAACCACACAAAGCCAGACGTGATAGCATGCATCTATAATCCCAGCGTGCCTACGGCAAGATTGGTGGTGGAGACATGAGAACCCCTGGAAGCCTGGGTGCCAGCCAACCTGGCTTAAGAACCAGAACCAGCGAACAAGAGATCCTGTCCCAAACAATTTGGGAAGGTGAGAAGCAAAGTCTGGGGGTGCCTTCTAACTTTCACATGTGCATGGTGCCCACATTCATTCTGTCTTTGTCTCTCTTCCCACGTGTGCACACACACGCACGCGTGCGCACACACACACACGATTTGTTTTTAAGTGGAAGAAGAGACCCAGCTCACAAAGTTGCCCTCTGACCTCCACAGAGGCACCATGGTACACATCTACATTCATACACATACCCACACCAAAATAAAAAAAAAATAAAAAAAACCAAAGACATGAAGAGAAAGAAAGAAAGAAAGAAAGAAAGAAAGAAAGAAAGAAAGAAAGAAAGGAAAGAAAAGAAAAGAAAGAAAAGGAAGGAAGGAAGGAAGGAAGGAAGGAAGGAAGGAAGGAAGGAAGGAAGGAAGGAAGAAGGGGTGGAGGGAGGGATAGGTCTTAGTGTGCCCTTAAAGGCCATGTCCCCAATGACCTAACATAATTCCATTAAGCCCTGCCTCCTGGGGGTGACAAACCCTCCAACTCCATGTGCCTTTGGGGACACAATGAGTGAGTGGGGTCTCCGAAGAGAAAACCCTTTCCCTGCCTTCCAGACACTCGCTCAAGCCACGCTTGCCATGCCTGGCTCACCACGCGCCCTGATGTCTCAGTTGCACAGGCAGCTTCCTCTTCCCCGGGAAGCCTTCTCACCTTTACCATGAAAACCTGTTCCATCAGCTTATGGTCCCGGCACATGCATTCAGAAACCTGAGCTTCCTCACAGCGTAAACTACGGCTGGTGTTCATACTCCCCCACGTAGTGTGACATTTTACTCTTTTGACTTTTTTGTTTGTTTGAGGGCCCCACCATCCAGTTCCCAAATCATAACGAATGCTTATTCTTAATTATAAACACCTGGCCTTGGCCAGGCTTGTTGCTAGACAGTTTTTCTTAATTTAAATGATTCCAACTACCTTTTGCCTCTGGGCTTTTTCCTTTCCTTACTTCATATGTCTTACTTTCTTTCTTCATCCATGGCTGACTGTGTAGCTGGGTGGCTGGCCCCTGACATCCTCCTCTCCTTGTTCTCTTGCTCCTCCCTTTCCTCGGGTCTCCTTCTATTTGTGCTCTCTGCCTGCCAGCCCCGCCTAACCTTGCTCCTGTCTTGCGATTGGCCGTTCAGCACTTCATTAGACCATCAGGTGTTTTAGACAGGTAATGAATCACAGCTTCACAGAGTTAAAAACAGCATAAACAAAAGTCACACACCTTAAAACAATAATCCAACACCCCCAAAGGCCAAAGTTTGGTTTCCATAGCTTGCTTCCTGCAGCAGTTCTACATGCAATTCTATATGCAATTCTACATGTGTACCTCTGAGTCCTCAGTTCCTTAAAACCTTCTACCAACTTCACAGCAAAGCACCAAGCAATTGGACTTCCAGGCTTATGTCCAGAGCTGCAAGCACACAGGCAGGTAGAGAGGTTGACAGCACCCTTCCTGGTGGAGATTTACTGTCAAAAAAAAAAAAAAATCACCCAGTTTGACATTTGGTAACACACAGGAACAAAGAGGCAAGGGCAGCCTTGTGGCCAAAGATAATCCAATAAGCAAAGCTTGTGTTCAAGTCGTTTTTTAAAAAAGAAAGGAAGGAAGGAAGGAAGGAAGGAAGGAAGGAAGGAAGGAAGGAAAGAAAGAAAGAAACAAAGAAAGAAAGAAAGAAAGAAAGAAAGAAAGCAAGCCATGGTGAACGCTGATCACTGTGCCTTTAAGAGAACACAGGAAGAATTTCTCTGCTTCTCAACTTTCATTTTCTTTCAGCACATCCCTATCTCTACTCCAAGCTTTCATTTTCAGAAAGTCCCTCCCATGACAAATTGACTCCTGTTAGGGCCGTGCGTCACAGCGGATCCGAAAATGAGCCTTGCCTGCGGGTAGCAAATAAGCCACCCGAGCGCTTTGTCAGCCGCGCAGATCTTAGTAACCCTTGGGCTTGGGAAACTTCTCAGTCGTGTGGAAAGGAGGAAAGGGTTTCAAGTATCATTCATCAGAGATTCGCTTTGCATGTCTAAAAAGAAACTGAGCACGAGACACACGTCTCTAAGTAGGCTGAGCATGTGTGTGTTCAGACCTGCAGCGCATGGGGAAAGGACCTGTGTCCTCAACAAGCAGCACCACTCATCTGGAAACTCCTCCCACTTCCTCAGAACCCTAACTCCTGGCAGCAAGTGGGCAAGTGTGATGTCTGCCACCCAACTCCACCTCCACCCTTTCCTTCTGTCAACACCAGCCCAGAGCTCCTCAGAGAACAGGGCCCAGACCCCTGCCTACCACAGAAAATCCTTCAAATTGGGCACAGGAGATGTGTGCCAAGTGTCAGACAGGCCTGTACCTTGATCCCTGGGGCCCCGGTTTTCCAAGATCATGCGTCTGTCTCATGCCGTCTGTTCAATGAAGCCTTGTGGTGTGGCCAGTGGTTTGGAAAACTAGCAAAGTACAAGATGCAAACTAAACAGGAGGCCAAGCCAGCACAACTAGAGGGACATTGTCCTAGGAACAGGGCAGCCACTCTGCAGGGAGCTCACAGTCAGCTAGCCCTGCACAGAAACAACGCTGGGCATCAAGGGACATGGACAAATGTGCCTGTTTCTAAATGGCCCACACAAGGAGGAAAGATTCGAACACAAGTTAGTGTCATTTTAATCTCTCTCCCCAGGGGTTTATCTATCCCCTCGTCATTCACATCAACAACAGGCCCAGACAGACAGACACCTCACCTCACTCGGGACCAACTGACTTGACAGGTTGATCCCACCATGGCTGACAATCCTTCCCTTCATTACTCTCATGGTTTCTACTTGGAATCTTCCTTAATAAGGACAACTGGAAGTAACAAAGGCCATCTGAGGTCAGTCACTGGGACAGACAACAGTCCTGAGACCCTGACCTCCTACAGCACACCTAGTAACACACCTACAGAGTGCATAGTACATACTTGTCCAAGGAGGGAATGTACGTATGTATTTGAGCTTCAACAGTAATGTCACGTTTGTGTTAGAAACTTAATTTTTAGCTAAGAGACATCCTAATGCTGGCTGGAAAAGTGAAATCCCCTTCAAACAAACACACAAATAAACCTCCCCAGTGTGTGTGTGTGTGTGTGTGTGTGTGTATTTTGTCACGAACACAGAACTATCCTATAAGCTACTAACATCTTTTGAAGGTCAAGAAGAAGAGCAGCCTGCAGGACCTCTGCATTTGAATTCTGTTCAAGGTACCTGCTCCTTAAAATGAAAATTAATCCCAAGGGGTTAGCAGGTGAAGCCGCTGAAAGTGCGGGGTGAAATGGCTTGACAGGTAAAGCCTGGAGCCGACTGGGAGGCCACTGGTCAACTCAGCCACACATTTACTTACTCAATGATCATTTCAGAATAACACCAATGGGGTGTCATTCTGCCGGCAGCAGCCAGTAATCAGCAAGGCATAAAAATGGAAAATTTCCTGGAATAACAGAATGTGCGGAACAAAGTAACCCCTAAATGCTTCAGCATCCAGGAAGTGGTGCAAGACCCTGACACCAAAGGAAGGCAAAATGTAGGCAGATGATAATCTTTCCCAACCAGGTGGTGGTGGCGCACGCCATTAATCTCAGCACTGGGGAGACAGAGGCAGGCGGATCTCTGTGAGCTGGAGGCCAGCCTGGTCTACAGAGCGCATTCCAGGACAGCCAGGTTTGCACAGAGAAACCCTGACATGAATAACTTTAAAAAAAAAAAAAAGGTAGTCCTTGTTGTTTTGACTGTCACTTTAGAAGCTCTCACAATAATTACCTCAAAAGCAGTGGGGGGCTATGTGGAGCCAGAGACGTCTCCACAGCTTCCAAGGAGAACTAAATACTACCCATCAGTTCAAAGGGACAAATAGAGGCTCCAGAGTGAGCTTTTCCAACAAACTTGTTAATGTACCTCTTGCATCTGAAGCGTCTCTCCTGGCAACTGCGACAGAATGAAGTAGGAAGCCCAGACAGTTCTCACCACCAGGGGTTCACACCACCTACTCAAGCAGATTATCAGCCAGAGACGACAACAAGACTTGCAAGCAGGCACAACCTCGCAGGCCTTGCCACTCCCTGCTGCTGACTGATGAGGGTCACATAAACCTTCGGTTCCCTTGGAAGCGTGAGTTGCTCAGGACACTGACGTGTGATTGATCAAACTTCAAAGAGAAGAGCATCAGCTGGGACTCTCTAGCGTTCTCTCTTGAGAGCTTGAATTTTCACAATGGAGAAAAGTCAAAAATAAAGTTGTTTAAAGACTCAAAAGTATGGTGAGTGTCCTAGTTAGGGTTTCCACTGCTGTGATAAAACACAATGACCAAAAGCAGCTTGGAAAAGAGTTTATCTCAACTTGCAGGTCCTGACCACAGTCCATCACGAAGGGAAGTCAGGGTAGGAACTCTAGACAGGAGCCTGGTGGCAGGAACCACCTGAGGGCAGAGACCACAAGAACTAACTGTTGCTTATGCCTCCTGGTTTGCTCAGCCAGCTTTCTTACAGCACGCAGACCCACCAACATAGGGTGGGTGCCACCCACAGTGGGCTGCACGCTCCCACATCAATCACTAATCAAGAAAACAACCAGCTTGCCAACAGGCCAACCACAGGAGCCCACAGTCTCAATTGAGAGTCCCTCTTTGCAAATGACTCTAACTTGTGTCATTGACATAAAACCAACCAACACGGTGACTAAATACAACGTGGCAGGCTAGGCTTCTCTAGGACCAGCAAAAGGATATTCATAGAAACACTCACGAGACCCGAATCACATCTGTGCTCACCAGCAGTTGTGTGTATGTAAGGGTACATTGCTTTACTGTAATTCACCTGGTTAAGTAAGACATTCGTATCAGGAGGAGCAGGGCGGGCAGCGTAGAAGAATTTTCTGTATTATCTTCGCAAGTCTGCGGCAAATCTTACAACTTTTAAAGGAAGGTTGTTTTCTTTTTCTTTTTCTTTTTTTATTTTGTTCTCTTTTACAAGGCTTATCAGTAATGAAAGAGCGAGGGGGTGTTTTAAAAACAAAAAGACATGTACATGGGAGAGTTGAAGGGATGAGAGGGAGAATAATTAGAATTCTATACATTATGAAAATGTCATAGACCCTTTTTTTTATTTTTTTAAAGGAATTTCCTTTTCAATTTTACAACCATCCTGAAAGCATAACCCCAAATGCTACTGTTTCCGGGCACCTGAAAAGCTAGCTAGGGCTGTTTAAATCCTTTCCTTGCTCTAGACAGCATCCTCCCTTCAAAGCATAAACTTTCTTATAAATTCTCTCACGTTGCCTGCTACTGGTCACAGGTCTGCCCAATTCCTTTTTCCAAACGCAAGGGAAAGCCCCACCACCACCAAGAGGTACCCACCGAACTGTGATACCCACCAGCACTCGTTGGCAAGCGAGGTAGGACAATTAAAAAAAAAGTAACCCACCAAGCCAGCAGGTTCCACTTGAGGGCCGAGAGGAGAACTTGGGAGCCTGTGAAAGACCTCAGACCTCTTCGCAAGAGGAAAAGTTAAGCAGTGTTTTACACTGTGATAAGAACAGGCGCTAGGAACTGGTCGGAAGTTTTTAGGCAGCCACCTTGGAAGTGAGCAGTTTTTCTTGGCAAGAAGCTGGAAAGAGCCAGCTCCCAAATGACTTTAGGGTCTCAGCTTTTGAGGGGGTGTGCTGGCTGGTTTTATGTCAACTTGAAACAAGCCAGAGTCCTCAGAGAGGAGGGAGCCGCAGCGGAGAAATGCCTCCATAAGATCAGGCTACACACAAGCCTGTAGGGCATTATCTTAATTAGTGATTGATGTGGGGAGACTCGGACCGTGGTGAGTGGTGCCATCCCTGGGCTGGTGGTCCTGGTTGTATAAGGAAGCAGGCTGAGCAAGCCATGAGGAGTAAGTCAGTAAGCAGCACCCCTCCACGGCCTCTGCATCAGCTCCTGCCTCCAGGTTCCTGCCCTGACTTCCTTCAGTGATGAACAGTGGTGTGGAAGTGTAAGCTGAATAAATAAACCCTTGCCTCCCCAGGTTGCCTTGGTCATGGTGTCTCAGCACAGCAACGGTGACCCTGACTAGGACAAGGGGAAATATTAACTAGCCAGCTAGTGCGGCATTAGCCTTGGAAGCCTCGGAGGATAGAGTCCTCTTGCATGGTCAGCTTTGAATACCACCTTCCGTTACCCTGGTAACACTAAAAGAGAAACATCACTACTGCCCCTCCTTCGGATTTAAAATACCACGTGTAAAGGTGACTTTGTGGAAGCCCATTAAAGGGAAGCTACTTCCTCCTGGTCAAAACAACAGGGTCTGAGTCCCACCTCTGGCCCTGTAAAGGCCTGTGGCGTTCTGATCTGCTCCAAAGATGAGAACATTGCATACTACCATCCCCTCCCTTAAGAGTTAATCCATCTGGGCCTGTCAATCACCTCCCTAGTGGTCAGCCTCACAAACCTGAAGACATGCCAA